TCCAATTGACTAATGAAGATTGCAATAACAGTGCTGCCTGTGGTACCGAATGGACCAATAAGATTGCAATAACAGCGCTGCCTGTGGTACCAATTGACCAATGAGATTGCAGTAACAGTGCTGCCTGTGGTACCGATGGACCAATGAGATTGCAGTAACAGTGCTGCCTGTGGTACCGATGGACCAATGAGATTGCAGTAACAGTGCTGCCTGTGGTACCGATTGACTGATGAGATTGCAGTGTTTCAATAATGGTCAATAACAATACAGTTGCATGGTTCACTGTACTTACCGCTATGTTGGCTGCTATCACATTAGGGTGGTCACATACAGATTCTACAAAGAATGTCTGTAAATAAGAAACAATATCAAGACATTAAAACATAGAACATATGTCAGACATATGGATCCAGAAGCTGATGTTTGATTATGATGATTTGTTAACATTAAAATGATTGACATCTTGTATCTGATCAAACGACTACCAAAAATGACAAAAATATGCATCAAAATTGAAATGAACAAATCTGAGAGAGGTCTATTTGTAGTATCTATACATGAATATGTAATATCAAAGCAATTGAAATTGCGGGTTTTGAAAGAATACATTGTGTTCATCAAAATTAGAGAAATGAAGATATCACAAAATGAACACACCAAGTATCAATGCAATAAGAATTTTAGTTTTCAAGAAGAAGTCGAAAAAGTTGACATGAGTGCTGACGGGCAATCACACTCGTATGAAAATAAAACTACTTGACTTAACCTGGCCACATGAACTCTTAAGGACAACTCCAACAATGACAGACATTGTAACCACTATACCTTACCACTTCATTATTACGGGGAAGGTAGCAATAGAAATTCACCTTGAATCCTCGTTCATTACACTGATCTAAGATTTCTTCCCTTCTTTCTCTTGTTGTGTTTGTAGCATCAAATACACCAACCTCACCATTAACCTCTAGCCAGTTACACATATCAGTCAAGGCATCAATGGCACATTGCCTGAAACCAAGCAACAAATATGATGTAATTTCATGGAGACAAAACAAGCCATGCATGCATGGCACAGTTCCCGTTAGTTATCAAATTTAAGATATATAGTTTTGTTTATAGTAATATAGCTGGAATATAACCATGTCAGGAATATGATTTTTTAACATTAAAATGATTGACATTTGTATCTGATTGTCAAACAAGTACTTGTCCATATTGAGATATATTGCTCTGGAACAGCATTCAAAATCAGCCATTTTGAATACATGTATATATATAACATGATGTATAACGAATATATAAAATTTAAATATAATAAGTCAAAGCATTTAAGAGATATGGCTCTAGAAGCCCAATCATTGAAACAAAATGGCCACCAGTCAGCCATTTTAAATCCAATCTGATAAATAAAACGACGAGCATCAGGAGCCCATAATGTCTAATGTATGTACCAAGTTTGAACGAAATCCACCCATAAATGCCAGAAATGCTTGATATTTGATGATTTTTTAGCACAAAAATTACCACCATTCGGTCCATTTTGAATAGGATAGTCAAACCAATATATCTGTTTATCTATGACATAATGTATAATGAATATTTAAAATTTGAAAATATTATCAGTCAAAACAAGTCGGAGATATGGGTCTAGAAGCCCATTCATTAAAACAAAATGGCCACCAGACAGCCATTTTGAATCCGATCTGAAAAATAAATGATGTGCATCAGGAACCTGTAATGTC